ATAAAATGTTTACCATAAAACCGTCTGAAACTTAAAATAGACAGAATCTTATTTTTAAGAGTATTTATCAAAAACATCATGTTAACGCCAAAGCATAAAAAGCCATAAGAAAAAAATCTGTCATAATCAGTGATGCATGTTGGCAGTCAAGGTCATTTTAAAGAATAAATTGTTGAACAGTTCTTGCCAAATGAGAGAATTTCAATAAATAGCAGTAGACAAGCAGGAAACGGTCAGTAATGCATTATTGCAGATTTTTATGTTTAATTTTCTGCCAAATTCAGTTGTATAGCCTAGAGTTAATATGTAAAGAGTCAGTTTCATACTAAATGAAAATTTATTTATTATTTTCTGTCGACTGTAATAGCAGTAGAAAAGCAAGAAATGATCAGTGATATAATGTACTTTTGCATATTTTATCTTTATTTTTCTGCCAAATTCAGCAGTATTTCTTTATTGAATTTTTATTCTTTATTCTTTATTGAATTTATTGAATATTTCATGTCAACTTTGAAGAATTTTTAATTATATGACTTGAAAAAGCAAGAAATGATCAGTGATGTAATGTACTTCTCCATACTTGATCTTTATTTTTCTGCCAAATTCAGCAGTATTTCTATGTGAAAGTTGGTATTTAAAGAGTCAGTGTCCTTCTAAATGAGAATTTATTAATTATTTCATGTCAACTCTGAAGGAATTTTAATTACAGCACTAGAAAAAGCAGGAAATGATCAGTGATGTAATATTTTTACAGACTTTGTCCTTATTTTTCTGCCAAATTCAGCAGTATTTCTATGTGAAAGTTGGTATGTAAAGAGTCAGTGTCCTTCTAAATGAGAATTTATTGAATATTTCATGTCAACTCTGAAGAATTTTTAATTATAGCAGTAGAAAATGCAAGAAATGATCAGTAATGTAATTTTTTTGCAGACTTTGTCTCATCTTTTCTGCCAAATTCAGCAGTATTTCTATGTGAAAGTTGGTATGTAAAGAGTCAGTGTCCTCCTAAATGAGAATTTATTGAATATTTCATGTCAACTCTGAAGGAATTTTAATTACAGCACTAGAAAAAGCAGGAAATGATCAGTGATGTAATGTACTACTATATACTTTGTCCTTATTTTTCTGCCAAATTCAGCAGTATTTCTATGTGAAAGTTGGTATGTAAAGAGTCAGTGTCCTCCTAAATGAGAATTTATTAATTATTTCATGTCAACTCTGAAGAATTTTTAATTATAGCAGTAGAAAATGCAAGAAATGATCAGTGATGTAATGTACTTCTCTATACTTTGTCCTTATTTTTCTGCCAAATTCAGCAGTATTTCTATGTGAAAGTTGGTATGTAAAGAGTCAGTGTCCTCCTAAATGAGAATTTATTGAATATTTCATGTCAACTCTGAAGAATTTTTAATTATAGCAGTAGAAAATGCAAGAAATGATCAGTAATGTAATTTTTTTGCAGACTTTGTCTCATCTTTTCTGCCAAATTCAGCAGTATTTCTATGTGAAAGTTGGTATGTAAAGAGTCAGTGTCCTCCTAAATGAGAATTTATTGAATATTTCATGTCAACTCTGAAGGAATTTTAATTACAGCACTAGAAAAAGCAGGAAATGATCAGTGATGTAATGTACTACTATATACTTTGTCCTTATTTTTCTGCCAAATTCAGCAGTATTTCAATGTGAAAGTTGGTATGTAAAGAGTCAGTGTCCTCCTAAATGAGAATTTATTAATTATTTCATGTCAACTCTGAAGAATTTTTAATTATAGCAGTAGAAAATGCAAGAAATGATCAGTGATGTAATGTACTTCTCTATACTTTGTCCTTATTTTTCTGCCAAATTCAGCAGTATTTCTATGTGAAAGTTGGTATGTAAAGAGTCAGTGTCCTCCTAAATGAGAATTTATTGAATATTTCATGTCAACTCTGAAGGAATTTTAATTACAGCACTAGAAAAAGCAGGAAATGATCAGTGATGTAATATTTTTACAGACTTTGTCCTTATTTTTCTGCCAAATTCAGCAGTATTTCTATGTGAAAGTTGGTAAGTAAAGAGTCAGTGTCCTTCTAAATGAGAATTTATTGAATATTTCATGTCAACTTTGAAGAATTTTTAATTATAGCAGTAGAAAATGCAAGAAATGATCAGTGATATAATGTACTTTTGCATATTTTATCTTTATTTTTCTGCCAAATTCAGCAGTATTTCTTTATTGAATTTTTATTCTTTATTCTTTATTGAATTTATTGAATATTTCATGTCAACTTTGAAGAATTTTTAATTATATGACTTGAAAAAGCAAGAAATGATCAGTGATGTAATGTACTTCTCCATACTTGATCTTTATTTTTCTGCCAAATTCAGCAGTATTTCTATGTGAAAGTTGGTATTTAAAGAGTCAGTGTCCTTCTAAATGAGAATTTATTAATTATTTCATGTCAACTCTGAAGGAATTTTAATTACAGCACTAGAAAAAGCAGGAAATGATCAGTGATGTAATATTTTTACAGACTTTGTCCTTATTTTTCTGCCAAATTCAGCAGTATTTCTATGTGAAAGTTGGTATGTAAAGAGTCAGTGTCCTTCTAAATGAGAATTTATTAATTATTTCATGTCAACTCTGAAGAATTTTTAATTATAGCAGTAGAAAATGCAAGAAATGATCAGTAATGTAATTTTTTTGCAGACTTTGTCTCATCTTTTCTGCCAAATTCAGCAGTATTTCTATGTGAAAGTTGGTATGTAAAGAGTCAGTGTCCTCCTAAATGAGAATTTATTGAATATTTCATGTCAACTCTGAAGGAATTTTAATTACAGCACTAGAAAAAGCAGGAAATGATCAGTGATGTAATGTACTACTATATACTTTGTCCTTATTTTTCTGCCAAATTCAGCAGTATTTCTATGTGAAAGTTGGTATGTAAAGAGTCAGTGTCCTCCTAAATGAGAATTTATTAATTATTTCATGTCAACTCTGAAGAATTTTTAATTATAGCAGTAGAAAATGCAAGAAATGATCAGTGATGTAATGTACTTCTCTATACTTTGTCCTTATTTTTCTGCCAAATTCAGCAGTATTTCTATGTGAAAGTTGGTATGTAAAGAGTCAGTGTCCTCCTAAATGAGAATTTATTAATTATTTCATGTCAACTCTGAAGAATTTTTAATTATAGCAGTAGAAAATTCAAGAAATGATCAGTAATGTAATTTTTTTGCAGACTTTGTCTCATCTTTTCTGCCAAATTCAGCAGTATTTCTATGTGAAAGTTGGTATGTGAAGAGTCAGTGTCCTTCTAAATGAGAATTTATTAATTATTTCATGTCAACTCTGAAGGAATTTTAATTACAGCACTAGAAAAAGCAGGAAATGATCAGTGATGTAATATTTTTACAGACTTTGTCCTTATTTTTCTGCCAAATTCAGCAGTATTTCTTTGTGAAAGTTGGTATGTAAAGAGTCAGTGTCCTCCTAAATGAGAATTTATTGAATATTTCATGTCAACTTTGAAGAATTTTTAATTATAGCAGTAGAAAATGCAAGAAATGATCAGTGATGTAATGTACTTCTCCATACTTTATCTTTATTTTTCTGCCAAATTCAGCTGTAAATCATTAAGAATGTTGGCATGGGGAGAGTCAGGGGCATACTGAATTAGAATTGATTAGACATTTTTTGTCAACTCTAACAGAATTTCAATAGTGCAGGTAAATAAAGTAGAAGATGATGTGATGTAATTTTTTTGCTTTGTCTCCATTTTTCTGCCAAATTCAGCAGTAATTCTATATGAAAGTTGGTGTGTAAAGAGTCAAGGCCATCCTGATTCAGAGTTCATTGAATATTTCATGTCAACTCAAAAGCAAGAAAAAAAAATCAGTGATGTAATGTACTTCTCCACACTTTATTTTTCTGCCATATTCAGCTGTAAATGCCAATAAAATTTCCCATGGAAAGAATCAAGGTCATCCTGAATTAGAATTTATTGAAATGTCTTGTCAACTCTGAAGAAATTTTATTAGTGCATGTATAAAAAGCAGAAAATGATCAGTGATGTATTCTTGCAGACTTTGCCTTTATTTTTCTGCCATATTCAGCTGTAAATGCCAATCACCTTTGGCATGGAAATTGATTCAAGGTCATCCTGAAATAGAATTAATTGAATATTTCATGTCAACTATGGCAGAATTCTCAGCAATAGCAGTAAAAAACAGGTGTTTTTTGCAGACTTCATTTTGTTTTTGCCTTGTAAATTGACATAAATGTCATGTCAAGTCTAAAGAAATTATTAATATCAGTGAAAAAAGCATGAATTCAATCAGTGTTAAATTATTATGGCAGACTTTTGCAAAACTTCAAAAAACTCTGCAATAAATGTATTTCAATGTTCTATATTTTCATATTTATTTTAAAAGGTACATTTATGATTTAATTAATGCATGTTTTCTTTTTACTAGACACATTTGGCCAATAACCGCTGAAATATATGTCTTTGTGAGGTTTTTGACTGCTCTAGCTTCTGTACCGTAATTCCTCAAACAGAAGTGCATTAAAATACTGGAGGTGGCTAGCTTGACCGGTTGTTCTCATGTGGCGGCTCACTTGACTGCGGTAAAATGGCGACCAGTGAGAAGCACGAGGAAATAAAATAATAAAAAAACGACAAAACGAACAGGATGCACAGTGCAAAACATTTAAACAAACTAAAGTTCAACTTACTTTCAAAGAAAATATATGCATATTTAAAAATATGCATATGAACATAGTTTAGAGTCCAAAAATGTTTGGCCTACTGATGTTCTCTATTCATGCGACGTAAAACATCCTGCGTTTACATCCAAACCAAATCAAAGCCTTCAGTAAATCGCGATACTCTTCATAAACAGTAAGATATTTGATTTCACAGTTGTACGGTTTCAGAATTACCTGTCATTTATTAATCGCAAAGCACTTTCACGTGCTAGCCTGTTTGATAGATGATGCAGCAGATTGCTCCACTCACCTGCATGGAATCAGCGCTTATAATCTCCCCATTAAGCCTTTTCCCGATCTCGATAGCCAGTTTAGATTTGCCAGTTCCAGTTGCTCCTAAAATCACCACTAAAGAGGGCTTGATACCTTTCTGGAGTACACGCGTGGCGGCCGCCATGACAGCAAGCTCTCAAGTCTCTGTCACGATCTACGCATGCGCGTTGACGACACCGTGGAGGAGGGAAGTGTTTCCAAGCAACTAAACCTGTTTCCATAGGGACGAGATTGAAGGATTCAATTATAGCAGGTACGGCAAGGCAAGGGTGTTTCATTCAGAAATAGGACAAAAGTTCATACACTCAAACAAAAAGTACTTGGAAAATAGGAGACGTGATATAAGTTATATGGACAAAGAAATAGCTCTGCTTGGTACAAACATGTAAGAAGTAGGTACATTTATTATTAAAACGTATTTATCGCTGTGAATAACGTTAGTTGATAATAATTAATTATTACAAAATAATTACCAATAATAATTAATTATTAGCATAAAACTAATGTTACATAGATATTTACAATAGAGGTCGCCTACACTAATGTTGTCTATTGGAAGGAACGCGTCAATAGAGCCGCCATTTTAGTACAGGGTAGCGCTCCTTTGAAATAAATGCGGGACCAAGTTGCGGTGGAGGACTGTCCACCTGGAGCCAAAGGTATACATATATACATATATCTATGATTAAGTTTTCCAGCTGGTCAGTATAAAAATACTTATTTAAATAACAAAAATTATGATTTTACATCACTTTTTTACATTAATGGATAAGGGAACTGACGATAATTCCTGACAAAGTGTGTGTGTTTTGTTTGCATGGAAATGTATATTGTCACCCCTTGTTGAATTTGATCTAATCTGTGTCCTGTGTCCTGTGGCTTTTCGTTTGTGAGAGACTGTTATCGTCAATACTTGTTTAGCACAAAAGTTTGTAAAAAAGGAAATCTTACCAATGAAATGTGATGTCTTTGTGATTTGTTTTCTTTGTTTGCTCATTATTACTACCGTATGCAGCGCTACAGTCTAGCATCTTCAGATTGGCTTTAGTCTTGACTAGTGAAGATGAATGACATTTGTCCTGGGAGCACTGTACAAATGTGGCGGCGCTATTGATGCATACTCAAGTTCTGTATGCGATATCTAGTGCATAGATCTATGATAACGTTAAAGAACTGTTAGCCATATAGTATAGTATTCAATTCAATTCATCTTTATTTTTATAGCGCTTTTACAATGTAGATTGTATCAAAGCAGCTTAACGTAGAAGTTCTAGTAAATTGAAACCGTGTCAGTCCATTTTTGAGAGTTTAAGTTCAGTTTAGTCCAGAATGGTTAAATTTTCATTGCTGAAAGTCCAAATGCTGACTTTGCAAGCCAGTGGTGACAGTGGCAAGGAACAAACTTCACCAATTGACGAAAACGAAGGGAAAAAAACCCTTGAGAGAAACCAGCCTCAGTTGGGCACGACCATTTTTCCTCTGACCAAACTTTCTGTGTGGAATTGCAGCTCAGGCACTGAAGGCTGGAGAACACTAGACGTCCATCGTGGAAAAGCTGCAGGTGTGAGTAGGTCACCTGCGGGTGTTCAAGCTGGCCCATGGGATCAATGCAGAGACTCGTCTGTCACTGGGGTCTTTCAGGAATTGGTCTCAGGCTTTCCACTCCTCCATGACCGCTGCAGTGTCAGTTCAGGACAAGGCCTGGTCCAGGATTATGGATACCTTGGCATCAGTTCTTCACAGGTCTTGTAAAATAATATTTATTTGATTGTACGTTAGCAGAAAACTAAAAAGCTTCTCTTTTGTGAACGACAAATTGAATTACAACACTCGCAGAGATAGAGTTGGTGAGAAGCAATATTTAGCAAGAAGTGAAAAAAAACATGAGCTTCATCACGTTACATATTTATATACGGGTAAGTATGTTTACACAACAGTGATGTACTTTAAACAAGGGAAAGTTTTTTGTTTTTATTACTTTGTGTTTTTATAACTTTTATAGATAACAAAGTTGTTATTCCATTCACATGAATTGGCAAAAAATATAAAAACACTGTAGCTATTACTCATGCTAGGCCAGTACTGGCCATATCACTTATCAAAGATAAAGAGTAGTCTGCTATTGTTCTTTTCTAAAATATAATTAAAGTATCTAAAATATACATAGACCTTCACGAAAAAAAAACTAGATGTCCGATGTATGTTTGTCACATACATAAATATAATACCAAATGCAGCCATTTTTTGCCTGTTGTTGTTTGAAAGCATTACCAAGGGCCCAGAAAAATGGCCCAGATCACCCGCCTTACATGAATGTCTAAAGACTCATTATTTAAAATAAATGCATCTAGTTATAGCATATAAATACAATCTGTATCATTACACAACATACACTATCTGACAAAAGTCTGCTGTCGATCCAAGTTGTAAGAACAACAAAAAATAACTTGACCTCTTGTTGATCATTCGGAAAAGTGGCAGAAGGTGGATTTTTCAAATGAATCATCTGTTGAACTGCATCCCAATCATCATAAAAACTACAGGAGACCTATTGGAACCCACATGGACCCAAGATTCTCACAGAAATCAGTTAATTTTGGTAAAGGAAAAAATCATGGTTTGGGGTTACATTCCGTATGGGGGCATGTGAGAGATCTGCAGAGTGGACGGCAACATCAACAGCCTGAGGTTTCAAGACATTTGTGCTGCCCATTACATTACAAACCACAAGAGAGGGCAAATCCTACAGCAGGATAGCGCTCCTTCTCATACTTCAGCCTCCACACCAAAGTTCCTGAAAGCAAAGAAGGTCAAGGTGCTCCAGGATTGGCCAACTAAGTCACCAGACATGAAAATTATTGAGCATGTCTGGCATTGATGATGAATCCAAAGAATCTTGATTAACTCTAAGAGCCCTGCAAGAACGCTTTCTTTGCCATTCCAGATGAAGTTATTAATAAGTTATTTGAGTCATTGCAGAGATGTATGATGCAGTTCTCCAAGCTCAATATTAATCCTTTTTTCCACTGCATCATTACCTTATACTCTATACTGTACATTATTTCTGTTAAGTGACAAGACTTTTGTCTAAGTGAAGTCAGACCTTGCTGTCCTAATTAAATAATTAAAAATCAAGGCAGTATCATATTTTATTTTGGTAAAATAAGTGTAATCTAGAGGCCTTTGCCTTTCATATGAGCCTCTTCTGAAACCAAATGATGAACTAGAAGTCAAGATATGATTTGTTGTTTCTAAAACTTGGATTGGCAACAAGACTTTTGTAAGGTAGTGTACGATTATTGATTCTCACTAATTTTATTTTGTCTTTAAAATTTTCCTTACAAAAATGTATGCTGTTAATATTGTTCAGCTATGAATATTCTCGATATAAAATAAAAATTTTAAAACATAAATAATATTACATTTTTAAATGTAATTTAGGTCAGAGGTAATCTGAAATAAGTAATCTAGATTACATTTTTGACTACAATTATCATGTAAGTTGTATTTACAATAGCAAACCACATTTTTAAATTATATTTATTAAACTATTTTATAAATTAGAATTAATAAAAATACCATCCAACATGAAAGTAACAATATTTTGTGTATACTCATCAGTGTTGGGGTTAACTTGCATTTAAACCTTAGTGGGTTCATTTTAGATCATGTTAAAATAATGTGAGCTCTAATAACACAGTGATAGTTTAATAGTGTACTCTGCCTTTATTAAAATAATCAGCTTTGAGTATTCACTCAGGTCTGATAAGTTGTTGCAGTTTTAAATCATTTAGTGTGCAGCTTTGACAACACTGTTGACTTCAGCAGGTCGACTTGTGCACCTTCCGGAAGAACGCGGGTATGAATAGCTCTCTACCGTCTCTATGGCAACAGAGTGTTCTGCACCAAGGAAAAGAGAGATGCTCGTTGTCATGGCAAAGAAGGGCACTACAACGTGTCAACTAAAAGCGGCTTGCGCTAATGAAATGATCAAATCCAGTTCACACACTCGTACAGGTGTTGATGGAGGAAAATAGCTCTTATTCCACACACTGTAAAAGCTATTTTCTGCCAAAAGTTATTTAAAAAAGCAATCACTGCCAATCTATATCAGTAAACTACTGTTAAATAACATTAGGACACGCTTAAAGTTATAATTCAGCTATATATGTCATGTTGTGTTCCATGTATATGTTTGGAACAACATTCAGGTGAGAAAATAATGAGGGAATCTTTATTTATGGCAACAGCCATATTTATGGTAGCAATAATAAGATATACAGGTATAAAGTAAAAATTAACACTACTTGAAAATTTTCTGACGAGACTTTATTACCTAGGTATATGTTTGAGTAAAGGGGTGGCACGGTGGTGCAGTGGTTAGCACTGTTGCCTCACAACAATAATGGTTCGAGTTCCAGTTGGCATTTCTAAGTGGAGTTTGCATGTTCTCCCCGCATTTGTGTGCGACAAAAGATTAATAAAGGGACTATGCCGAAAAGAAAATGGATGAATGAATGAATGTTTGAGTAAAATGTTAATATTTTTTATTCTATAAGGGTCTGATAATATTTCTCCCACATTTAAAATTAAACTATTGTCATTTAGAGCTGTGTTTCTCAACCACGTTCCTGGAACCCCACCAGCACTGCATGTTTTGGATGTCTCCTTCGTCTGTCACACCCATTACAGGTCTTTCAGTCTATTCTAATGAGCTGATGGTCAGAATCAGGTGTGTTTGGTTAAGGAGACATGGAAAATGTGCAGAGCTTGTGGTCCTCCATGCAGGAACATGGTTTTAGAGCTTTTCTGACAGAAAACTGACAGTTTTTCAACAACATACATAACACTTGTTTATTACAAGCACATCGATACCTACAGGGGCATCACTGTGGCTCAGTGGGTAGCACAATCACCTCACAGCAAGAAGGTCACTGGTTCAAGCCACTGGGTTTCCTCCGGGTGCTCCGGTTTCCCCCACAAGTCCAAAAACATGCACTAGAGGTGAATTGGGTAAGCTAAAATTGTCCTTAGTGCATGTTTGTAAATGAGTGTGTGTGGATGTTTCCCAGTAATGGGTTGCAGCTGGAAGGGCATCCGCTGCGTAAGACATATGCTCGATATGTTGGCGGTTCATTCCA